GTTCCACAAAGTAGCAATTCTTGAGAAGAAGCCGTCCAAATGGAACTTATTTCTTACTAATGGAATACACAGAGAAATGAGGATTTTCCTGCTTATGTATGGGACAGTGCAGGTCCCAATTGCATAGGTCAGATCTCTGCTGGACACAGGAATGTAGCTCTACAGAACACTTGCCATGGGAATAACGATAGAGAAGCAAGAGATTTGCAACCTATTATCTGTGGGAAAATGGGTTGTAGAATGAAAAATAATTCATCGCCCACAAATCTGCATGAACTCCATCAAGATAGACAAGTGAGACCTGGAAAGTACAGGACGACTCATCACCGCTGACTCAACACCGGCCAACTCATCCCTGTGACAACTCTACTTCAGAACAACTCGACACTAGCCTACTCAGTGTGAGGACAACTCAATGACATGCAAACTATGAAAATTGTTCGTCGACTTTTTGAAAACAAATAAAAATAATTTATTGTTGTAGCACGATAATGGGTATGTCCTCATTCACATAATTACAGTATGTTGGTCTGCAGTTAGAGATTCATTGTGGAATTCACTTGACTCACTTCTAACAGTTGACTACTTCTACGTACCGCTGGCGAATCTTATATGTGCTGTTCTTGTCCTAAGTATTATCGTTCATTACCAACCTTCGTCTGATTATTCTATTCGCAACCTTCCATAGGTTACAACATTTATTAAGGAAAATTTTTAAAACAAATTTGACTTTAATTTTTATTTAAAAATTTATTGAATATATTATGTTGCTGTCTCTTTAACTAAACTTATCAAATACAAATAAATGATCGTCCTGTGCAAATTTTTCTTTTCCTCTTTAATTAAAAATTTGAATTTTAAGTTTGAAAATTAAACACCAGTCAGCCAAACAGGCTGTTGTAATTAATAAATTACTAAGGCAAACAGCTAAACTTAAAAAAAAAACTCTACAACTCAAAGCCAATCAAAGAGATGTGCACACTATGACAGCCAACACCGGTCTAAAGCTACGCTAGCGTTGAGTTGTCCCCACGCCGATTAGGCTGATGGTGAGTTGCCACGGAGATGGTGGTTTAGTTGGCAACCTAAATATGGCAGCAATACTCCATTTTTGGTCTGATCTGGCTCTTGAAAAGATAGAGAATAGCAGGTGGAGTCAAATATTTACTGGAGCGCTACAAGGAACTGACCATTTTCCCAGCATCTTTAGCAATATATCATATATAGGAGTTCCGACTGAGGTCTGGGGTGAAATGTTTAAGGTAAGGAACTTGCCTGAGAGAACACCTAGCCACCATGATAGATGACATTTAAGGGTCTGCTAGGTGATAGTAGAACATTACTAATTTGATTTTGTTCGAACTGAATTTTACAAGCCATTGCTTCAGCCTGGGCTAGATCAGAAAAGATATCAGAAGAGAGCTCAGAGAAGAGCTCAGAGAAGAGATCATAGAAGAAATCAAAGGAGAAATCAGATGAGAGGTCAGAGAAGAGATCAGAACAGATATCAGAGAAATGATCAAAAGAGAGATCAGAGAAGAGATCAGAAGAGAGATCAGAGAAGAGATAAGAAGAGAGATCATAGAAATGAACAGAAGAGAGATCAGAGAAGAGATCAGAGAAGAAATCAAAAGCGAGATTAGAAGAGAGATTAGTGAAATCAGAAGAGAGATCAGAGAAGAGATAAAAAAAGAGAACAAAGAAGAGATCAGAAAAGAGATCAGAAGAAAGTTCAAAGAAGAGATCAAAGTCAAGAGAAGAAAGGTCGTAGAAATGATCAGAAGTGATCAGAGAAAAATCAAAAGAGAGATCAGAAGAAAGATCGTAGAAATGATCAAAAGAGAGATCAGAAAAGATATCAGAAGAGAGATCAGAGAAGAGAATAGAAGAGAGATCAGAAAAGAGGTTAGAAGAGAGATCATAGAAATGAGCAGAAGAGAGATCAGAGAAGAAATCAAAAGAGAGATTAGAAGAGAGATTAGTGAAGAGATCAGAAGAGAGATTAGAGAAGAAATCGGAAGAGAAATCAGAGAAGAGATTAGAAGAGAGATCATAGAAATGAGCAGAAGAGAGATCAGAGAAGAGATCAGAGAAGAAATCAAAAGAGAGATTAGAAGAGAGATTAGTGAAGAGATCAGAAGAGAGATCAGAGAAATGATCAGAGAAGTGATAAGAAGAGAGATTGTTGAAATGATCAGAAGAGAGATCAGATAAGAGATCGGAAGAGAGATCAGTGAAGAAATCAAAAGAGATCAGAAGAGATATCAGTGAAGAGATAAGAAGAGTGACCAGAGAAGAGATCAGATCAGAGATCAGAAGATCAGAGAAGAGATCAGAACAGAGTTCAGAAGAAAGATCGTAGAAATGATCAGAAGAATGATCAGAGAAAAATCAAGAGAGAGATCAGCAGAAAGATCGTAGAATAATCAGAAGAGAGATCAGAGGAGAGAGATCAGAGAAGAGATTAGAAGAGAGATCAGAGAAGAGATAAGAAGAGAGATCATAGAAATGAACAGAAGAGAGATCAGAGAAGAGATCAGAGAAGAAATCAAAAGCGAGATTAGAAGAGAGATTAGTGAAATCAGAAGAGAGATCAGAGAAGAGATAAAAAAAGAGAACAAAGAAGAGATCAGAAAAGAGATCAGAAGAAAGTTCAAAGAAGAGATCAAAGTCAAGAGAAGAAAGGTCGTAGAAATGATCAGAAGTGATCAGAGAAAAATCAAAAGAGAGAGATCGTAGAAATGATCAAAAGAGAGATCAGAAATGATATCAGAAGAGAGATCAAAAAAAGAGATCAAAAGAAAAGATATCAGAAGAGATCAGAGAAGAGAATAGAAGAGAGATCAGAAAAGAGAAGAGAGATTAGAGAAGAAATCGAAGAGAAATCATAGAAAGATCATAGAAATGAGCAGAAGAGAGATCAGAGAAGAAATCAAAAGAGAGATTAGAAGAGAGATTCGTGAAGAGATCAGAAGAGAGATTAGAGAAGAAATCGGAAGAGAAATCAGAGAAGAGATTAGAAGAGAGATCATAGAAATGAGCAGAAGAGAGATCAGAGAAGAGATCAGAGAAGAAATCAAAAGAGAGATTAGAAGAGAGATTAGTGAAGAGATCAGAAGAGAGATCAGAGAAATGATCAGAGAAGTGATAAGAAGAGAGATTGTTGAAATGATCAGAAGAGAGATCAGATAAGAGATCAAAAAAGAGAGTAGAGTAGAGATCATAGAAGATCAGAGCGATCAGAGAAGAGATCGGAAGAGAGATCAGTGAAGAAATCAAAAGAGATCAGAAGAGATATCAGAGAAGAGATAAGAAGAGTGACCAGAGAAGAGATCAGATCAGAGATCAGAAGAAAGATCAGAGAAGAGATCAGAAGAAGAATCATAGAAATGATCAGAAGAGTTACCAGAGAAGAGATCTGGAGAGAGATCAGAGAAGATATTAGGAGATCGTAGAAATGAACAAAAGAAAGAGAAGAGATCAGAGAAGAAATCAAAAGAGAGATCAGAAGAGAGATCGTAGAAGTTAGATCAGCTGCCAGGTTTTACTCATTCATAGTTTTAGAGATGCATCACCTATAAACTGTTGTGTCACCTACATAGTAAATATCAGCGTCATAATAAAATCGTGTGTGTAAATCTTGTTCATATCTATTGCCTAACAAACCGCTGAGATTTATTGAATGTGACATGCCTTGCATTAAGTGTGTTTTGCCAACCTTATAATAATCAGCAGCAACAGATTTAACCTGGAGAATGCTAAACAATTTCCATACTTTAGTAGTGTACTAAAAACGATTGCATCAGCTGAAAACGTCGTCGCTAACCGTATCAAGTCCACCCACGCAACATAGCAGAAGCTATTCAAAAGAGTATTTGGCATTCCTGGGTTAACACAAACCACCAAGCACATGGTATACCGAGCTGCTGTAATCTCGACTCCCCTGTACTCCTGTGAGACCTGGGTACTCTACCGAAGAGACATCCGCAAACTTGAAAGATTCCCTCAAATGAAACTTCGTCAAGTCCTGTGGAACATGTGGCAGGATAGGATCACAAGCAACAAAGTTCTCGTCCGTGCAAAGATGGAGAACCTAGAAACCATCATGACTCGCCACTGACTTCGATGGGCCAGACACCTTGCCAGAATGCTTACCTAAACAAATCCTCTTCTCAGAGCCCGCATCTGGCAAGAGACGACATGGAGCCCCACGTCGTCGATTCAAGGATCATCTCAAAAAACACCTTGCTGAGAACAGAAATCGACCCGGTAAATTGGGAGATGTAAGCTGTAGAAAGAACCAATTGTAGAAGAGCAGTCCAAGAATAGACATACTTCGAAAACACAAGAAGAGGCTAAGAAAACCCAAAGAAAAGCCAGAGCTCTCCGTCCGCTGCACCCTCCTATCCTACCATTCGGTGGCTGCAGATATCTCTTCAGATCCAATATAAGATTCATTTCACACAGAAGGAAATGTCAATGAGCATCCTAATACTCGGCCACGAATTCCGCCAACGACGAATACACTTTTATAATAAAGAATAAATATCATTAAAATATTTAATATTTTGGTAAATTAAAGTCATTAAATAAACAATATTATTTCAATAAATTAACTCATAAATTTTTTTAAATATTTTTTGCTTATTAATAAACAAAAAACTATTAAGGCTGGAGAAAAATATTGTTTGATATATCTAAACTAATTTAAAGAATTTTCTTTCTTTGGTTAGTGCCATTCGTGATGCACGCTTGGGCAAGCATGTTTCTTTTCGATTCATGATTGACGTAGCAAAAGAATTCCAGCAGTAGGCTGCCGTTACTTTCTGCAGTAGATTGGTTGGCAACCAAAGCTCTAAGACCCAGCCTGTTATGCTATTTAACCCATAGATGGGAGAAGAAATGGATTCGTCCGTTTACCAAAGATATTTGCGCGCAACTGTATATAACACACTCGATAGGAATACGAACTCGGCTCTCCTATTTCTCATTGAAAACACTCCCTTGATATTCCCAAGCGGTCACTCATTTAGGTTCTGGCCAAGCTCGATGTTGCTTAACTTCGGTGATCGGACGAGAACCGGTGTTTCAGCGTGATATGGTTGTGACAAAGGAAGTTCTAAGATTTTAATTGAATAGTTTAAATCCTTTGAGTATAAAGGCTACGCACACACAAACACGCGCGCGCGCAAACAAAATATAATATTATTGGTATAAGGTAAAGCTGAAAAGATCTACACTCAAACAAAATTTTTTTAAAAATTGTTAACAAACAAAACGGTTCTCATTTAACGAACATACAGAAACTTTTCTATCTGCTGACACTAGACTCCTGGAGAGCAACACACTGCGCCTTCTTTCCCTCGCGTTTTCAACTGACTTGAAGTGGACCGACTACATCGAATCAATAGCTGCATCTACTGCAAGGAAAGTTGGTTCACTGTGTGAGAAATCATATTGTTATACTCTTAAATATATACGGTTTTTATCTTTATTCTCTTCGTTCCAGTTTCCTTCTGAATAGATCCCTATTTTGAATAGATCCCTGTTTTTTTTCTCGTTTGAATCTATCTTGCTCATTTACAATTCATCCATGCATTGAATATTGATGGCATATCTGGTCTGGTGTTCCTGCTATTCATCTCGAGATTCTTGACAAAATCCAAATAAGGATCTGTAATATAATCGATCCTGGCTTGACATCTCGACTTCAGTCACTTTCTCAACGACGACTCAGTTTACTTGTTCATATCCACAAGACAGAATATTCAAGGCGGTAGATGAATATAAATAAACTGTTTATTAAATAAACAAAACGTTCACTCAAACACGAGTATCCACTAAAATTAAGTAATTGATTAATAAAAAACCTGTCGGATTAATAAATAAAAAATTCATCCCTTTTCTTTATATATATATATATATATATATATATATATATATATATATATATACATACATACGTGTGTGTGTGTGTGTGTGTGTGTGTGTGAAATAGCAATTCCTCTTTATACAAGTTTCATTAAAAATGACTGACAAGTTACTACGGTTGTGTGTGTGCGTTCTTATAATTTCTTTTTTTCTGGATATAAATTATGTAGAAATTGTCAGACTTTTCTGTATGTCCGAGCGCTTTTGGATATACTTTTAGCCATTATCAAGGATGACTTTACTTTTTACTTTTAACCGAATGTATGAATTATTTTATGTATGTATCTAGAGTTATAGAAATGTTTTATTTGCCAAACACGGTCAACACATTGTGGCCATGTTCTTAGTTGATATTATTGAGTGTTGGCCTTTTTGTTAATAATGCTTCCATTATTTTTAGCCTTTTTTTTACATGTGGTTGTATTATCATTGTACATGTGGTTGTATTATCAACGAGTATGTTGCGGGTGAATTTTGGTAGGACTCTGTGTATGTTTGAATGAGGCCTAATTGAGCTATGGTCAGAGAGACCTAACGTGAGTCTTCTTGTTAGACATAGAGTCGTATATCCACTATAATTATAATATTGGTTCTCTGTAATTTGAATCTTGCAGGAGAGTTATTGTTGTTGACGATGAGGTCTGCAGTTTAAAACTTTTTATAGTAGATAATTAATTTCAATTTTCTTGTTTTTGACGACTGGTGTTCTGTATTTCTTTATAATGTTTCTAAGGGAAGATTCGTCTTGCTTATAGTTACAATGCATTCGCTTTTTATAGAAAATGTTAATGTTATTGTTTCTTTTTGCTGTATGTTCAATGTTGCTATTGGTTACCTAAGAAAGAAAATGTCTAATATGGTAATCTATAAGATGGTTTGGAAAACCGTTATTAACAAGCGTTTGTTTCACGTTAAGTTCTTTAAAGAAAAAGGACAAGAAGGTGAATTCTCTTGCGCTCTTATGAGGATTTTTATAATGCCTATTTTATATCTAAGAGGACATTAACTAGTATAATTAAGATGGCAAAAGCTTCTGCTTTTGGCTCTTTTTTTGTATAACGAAGTAGTGAATGCATTGTCACTAAAATCCACAAGAACATCCAAGAACGGGAGATTATTTTTTTAAGTTCATAGGTAAAGTTGACAACGTTTGTTTTTTGTTTTTTTTCTCGAATGTCATTTTGAAATTATCAATTTCATTTCTGTTTTCAGCTAAAATGAAAATATCATCTACATAGTGGACATATATTTTCAGTTCAGTAACTTTTAAAATAACTCATTTTCTATGAACATGTAATAATTAGTATAAGGTCGACACCAACCGTCAGCTCCTTGTTACATGCTTCAACGCAATCTTCAGGTCTGAAGATCAGGTTCAAGCATGAAATAGACTGTTGCCACTTGGTGTTGAACTCAGTGTCTATTTTTATATTTACATAGGCTCTGTCGCTGATATTGAGCACTTTTACCCAAATAAAGCATACATTAAAACCATATTTTTATCATTATACACACACACACATACATACATACATACATACATACATATATATATATATATATATATATATATAGTTGAATGGATATGAATTTGTGACCCTGGGTTTCATGCTTATGCGATCCTCAGACACGTTTGTCTGAGGATCGCATAAGCATGGAACCCAGGATCATAGACTTATATCCATTCAATTAAATATGTTAGCTCTATCACTGATATTGAACGCTTTCCAATAAGCAGCATACCTATATGAAATATATATATATATATATATATATATATGAGAGAGAGAGAAACATTTGACCGTTTCCCACTTGTATACGTTTACAATAAAACAATGTTCCTAGGTGAATAGTTACACTAACTATAGTACTAACAGTAGTGCTAGTAGGAATAGCAATTAGCATAATACTGGGTTGTAGGACAGTTGCGCCCCGGACAATTGCGTACCAGAAACTGCATCCCTAGACATTTTTGCGTCTCTAGACAAAAATGCGTCCATGGATAATTGTGTACCTCTGATAAAAGCATAGGTAGTAATCATAATTTTTTAAACAAGGAATAAAATTAAAAAAAAAAATAAAAGTTTATTTTTGTTTAAAATGCAATGACATATTAACTAACAGTATTGCAAGATCCCTCTACACATCGCCAGTATGTTTGTTTCATCGGCGTATTTCTGATGACAGTGGTAGCTGTACTTTTCCTCGTCCACAAATATTTTTCTACCAGTGTTTGATTTTCGGAACTTAGCCATGGGTTCCAAATATAAACATAATCTATAAAATCCAGGATCTATTTAAAGTTTGTGGTACGCACTGCCGGAGTAACCTGAAACTGATAGATTCTCTTGTTTTAAAAAATAAATTTTTGTCTTTTTTTTTTTTAATTTATGGTAACAACCTTTCTGCTTGTTCAGAGTAATTAAAGGTATTGGTGTGCAAATTTCTATATTAAACAACCTTTTTATAAAAATGGTAACTTCAAAAAATTACCAGAGGTACTCAATTATCCAGGGACTCATTTGTCTAGGGACGCAAATATCCAGGGAAGCAATTGTTTGAGACCAGTACGCAACTATCCGTCCACCATAATAATACTCACACCAATGCATGTGTTACTTTTTGTAGAATAAAAACAAATATATTAAAAGTCTGGTTCAAAGGAAATTCTCTTCATTCTACGTTCTGTTTTTTTTTTTAAGTCATATTTGCCAATTAATGAATATTGTATGACAGTAACCCTGCTTTGGTACTGTGGGCTGTTTGAAACTACTAGATATAAAGTGAGGGATCGATTTTCTATTGTTATATTCTATTGTTTTCCATCCATTCAACTGGGTGAATTGATAAATACCATATGTTTCCCCCAAACAAATATGGCAAATATTACTGAAAGTCATTTTTACTTTAAAATGCATCTCTAAAATTAATTTATTTAAATACTGGCATCATATTATAACATCCCTTAAATGTATATTTAATTCAATTAAATTAAGTAATTTCAACATTTTCAAAACAAGGCACTTTCAAAATTTTCAAGAAATGAACATTAAGTATTTCTCTTAGAATTATGAAGAATTTCAACAACAAAAATAGTATAAAAAGTGTTGCGTTAAGATAACATGTTTTTAAATCATAAGATTTTGAGTTCAAACTGTGTCATCAGCCAAGAAAAAAAAAATTGTTAAAATATTTTTTTTCTTATTTTCATTATTTGGTGCAGCATTTTACAATTGAAAGCTGCAATTTATCTAAAAATAAAAAAATGTACTTTTTTAATCTCCAAAAAAAAAAGAAAATATTTTGATTATCCTTTTTTAAGAAGAAATATGAAAATTTAAAATTTAAAGAGTATTGATCAGTTGATTTAAAAAATTAAAAAATATGCAGAGTGGCATCTGAGATTTTCTCTCTGAGATGAAGTGAACCATCTTGAAGGTGGAATTGCCTGAAAATATAGAAAATAAAAAATGGATTCAAATGAAATAGAAAGCTATTTTGAATTTCTGTTTCTATCAAATACATATCCTGTCACTATAAATTCTTCAGTTTTACCAGTTCAGACCTTTACAGCTGGAATACTATGTTACTCCCATGGAGACGATGGTGCTGCTGCTGATGGATGTGCTGTTGATAATGGTGGTTGTGGTGATGGTTATGCTAATAATGATGATGATGATGGTGGTGGTGGTGGTTGTGGTGGTGGTGATAATGATGGTGATTGTGGGAGTGATGATAATGGTGGTAATGGTGATGGTGTGGTGGTGCTGATGATGATGGTGGTGATGATGATGATAATGGTATGGGGGTGGCAGTTGTGGTGGTGGTGGTGGTGATGGCGGTTGTGGGAAGTGATAATAATGATGATGGTGTGGTGATGATGCTGATGATGGTGGTAGTGATGAAGGAGTGGTGGTGCTAATAACAATGATGGTGGTGGTTATGATGATGATGATGATGATAATGATGGTGTAATGATGATAGTGGTGGTGATGATAATGATGGTAGTGGTGGTGAAGTAGCTGACGATGCTTGTGGTGGTGATGGTGCTGGTGATGATAATGATGATGCTGATGATTAATTTTACACTAAGAATTAAATAAAATTACTTACAAATACAAGTGATCATGTTTTATACCCAAAATTTGCTGAGCAAAAGACAAAGTGTCATTC